TTATTCCCTTGGTCTCAGCTGAGCAAGGAAGGTTGTTTTGTGGTCTGGGATGACATTAAGGACTGGGTGATGCTGCCAACTCCTTGGATGGGAGCTCCTGCTGCCTTCTCAGTTCACCCAGCTGAATGCCTTACTGCTGAAATAAACACTTGTTTTCTGCCCCTTTCTTCAGCATTTACTTCTGTTTCCATGACCATGAGAAAGACGTTATCAGTCAAATTTGTTTTTCCATAAGCCAGAGACAAACATGTCCTAAAACGAATCCTGCTTTCCCACTGGATGCTGGAAGCCTTTTTTCATTGTTATATGGATGTTAACATCAGGAATTTTCAGAGAGATTAGTGTAAGGGGATGGAGCATAAATCCACAGAGAACAAAAGAAATTTTCACTCCCATGACAACAGGAAAGGTAGTGGCTGTTTTTTGTAGGAGACTGGAAGAAACTACCTCATGGCATTTAACAATTCCCTAAGAATGTCAAAATGCCATAAACCACAACCCCAGGAAATGTGAGGCTGGGATATTAGTACTGAAATTAATTATCAGAAATGTATCAACTGATTCAAAAGAAACCCCTTTTTGTCACAAAGTCTTTGTAATCAGTGATTACAATGAAACTCCTTACACATACCTGTCTATGGATTACAGTACATGGTAACATGTAGGAAAAAGTTCCAGATAAGGTACAGTTATACACAGGTCATGTTTCACTGAAAAAAAATAGGGGAGGTGGAAAATATAAATTGAGGTCAGTGCTGCATTATGTGTCCATAAGGTTTCTGCAGCAAAGCCCACAGAACAGGTCTTGTCCAATAGAGAACAAAATGTAATGAAAATCACAATGGTTTTCATCTTCATAGTAGAGATTGCCAGCAAGATGATTTCCAGATGAATGTGTCCTTTTCCAGTCTCACTAAAGTTTAACAAATGAGAATTAAGTACCCTAGAAAGAAGTACTATTTTTTTTTTTTTTTTAAATGGCAGCTGCCTGAGTCTTTGCGTACATGCAGACTTTTTCCACCCATGAAATTGGAATGTTTCATATGAACTGTTTCAATGTTTCAGAACAGAACTGTTTTGCATATGAATAGCTCCACCAGGTTCAGGTTTCTGCATGAAAAGTCAAGTATAAACTCATGTGCACACAAGGAATAATTTTTATTCAGTGGCCAAAATGAATTATCTAGAGCACAATGAAACAGGCAAAGCATTAATTCTCAATTTTATTAAGTGAACAGGGTCAGACACTGTTGTAACTCAGAGAAAGACCCTTGCCAGATAATTTTCTATCAAAGAGAGTTGTTGGAAAGTAGGCAATCACTTCAACATTTACACACAAAAGTATATTATAGACCAAGGTCTTTGGTTTTGTTCGTCTGTTTTCCTGTTCATTCCCTTATATGCTGCTTTTCTGTGCAATTTGCAAATCTACCAGGACAGTCATTCTTTCCAATATATGGTCTTGTAGGTGTGTGTGTATGTGTAGGATAAGAAAATAATTGTTTGCCATTAGAAAAGTCTCTGTATTAGTTACACCAGAATGTGGGTAACTACTAAGAGCTCAAAAATGTGCAGTGCAGATGTCTGATTGAGGGAAAAAGGGTAAATCCAAGGAAAAGTTGCTGTAGAGAACGTGACAGAGACAAAACTTTGTTTTGAAGAGAACTCTCTGTCATCTTTGATTCAAGTGCTTTTCACTATTTGTATGCAAATAATAGAAACTAGCAAATGGCTCAGGATAAACTTGGTCAAGAGCTAAGATCATTATCACTATAATCAGAAATGGATGTTCCCACTAACTAAAACAGGGGAAGACTGGAGGCATTGCAGCTGTTGTACTTATTCTCAGCAGTGCAACTAAATGAGCTGCCACTTACTCTGGGAAAATTCTTGTTCAAAAGCACAGGAGAAAGTTAATCTATTCTCTTGTTTTCTGTGGTGGTCTCTATGTTGTGTATGGCTTTTTTGTTGCATGTTGATCTCCTGCTTGTCTATCAAATACATACAGCTCTCCTGGGGACATGGGTGAAGGTGGAGGAATAAAAGACAAGACAGATGTGTAGTAAGGATGATTGGTGCTGTGTATCAATTGCCAAAAAGTGTACACATAAAGGACTTTTTTGCAGATCCTACCAGGAAAGAACAGTAAAGAAGGAGCAGCTTGCACAATATGCTCTTCAACAGATATTTATATCCAAGAACCTTGAAAATTAGAGGAGATAATGCAATGATATTATCTCGTGTATAAAAGAAACTATACAGGACAGTACCAGCATGGCTGTACTTTGGATGGTTTGAGAGACCTCCTAGACACTCCAAGGCAGAGCGGTGGGTCCAGGGCAAGAACAGGATGGCTCACCCTGACCATGGGACCAGATCCCGTGGGACTATCCCTGCTACAAGATCACGTCCAAGATCCGGCTATGACACTGCATTCCCATTAAACCTCTGAGCTGGTGACCTCCAGCTGTGAGTATCAGTGCCACAGATTTGTACGAAACAGCAGCCTTGGCAAGCCCCAAAACCACCTGATAGGTTTCTTGGAGTAAAATGCATCATGTAAAGACCTAACACTGTGTCAGACAGACAGCTTGGCACAGAGCTGGCCACACAGTGACCTCCAAGTTGATTTGCAGCCAGTTGCTTTCCTTCAAAGCATAAAGTTTGCTTAAATGTGTTTGGATTGAGGATTTAGAAAATGTGAGAGGGAGAAGGAAGGAGAAGTACTCCAGGAAAACAGCCAAGTTTATAACTGGAAGAAAGGCAGAGATGATTGAATATAATTCTAGGTTGAATCACAGGCTGGTGTGCTTCAGTTCTTGAGGAGGCACTTGAGCAAATGTCCCCTTGATAATGAGGCTCGAAGCCTCAGATGTTGGGAGGTCCTGTTTTTTTGACAGACTCTACTGTAACAAGCACCTCTCTTGAAAAAAAAATTGTTAACAATTACTCCCTGTAAAGGATGTGCTTTCAGCCACAGATCAGACATATTGCAAGTTGCAATTCATTAAAAAGATTCTCTCTGGGCTTCTGTCCAAAATTAGTGCCAGCTTTCTCCAAGCATTTGAGCAAACACAACTGCTACCATCAGTGCTGCCTTCCTTTGGAAAAATCCTTTGATGCTCAGTGGCTGTGGGAGTCAGCCAGCCACTAACACGTGTCTGCAGTTTCCTCCTGCTGCTTACAAGGTACTACCAGGCTGAACAAAGCTGCATGGCTGCGCCTGAGGTCCCACAGCTTGAGATCTCCTCTGCCTGCTCACCTCTGGAGTATTGTGTGGCTCCAGAGGTGAGCTATCCAACTGGGCTGTGGGTGTGATCCAGACTGGCTTGGTAAGTGCCAGAACAGAAGCAGAAAATGTTCTAGCTCAATCACAAGCATGTCTCACAGAAACACAGTGTCACTTCACTTCATTATGCAGGTGTCCAGGGTTTTGATGAAATTCAGGGGAAGAACAAGGCTGTTCATACTGGGATGGAGAGAGGCCAGCCTGATCAGAGAAGGGAGCCAAAGGTAATACGTAGGAAGTGTGCAAGTCTGAATTCATGTGACTTTTTGGGGTGTAATTGCCTTACAGCAGGCTGCAGTGCTGTAGCAAGCCCTACAAAAATATAATCTTCCAAACACCCATGGATTTGGATGCTGACATGAATGACAAGGAATGGAGCTAGTGAGAGGCTTCTCATCTCTTTGCCAGAGACAAGCAGTCTGAAGTAATTCTGGTATCAACTCCAGAAGTGCTTGGGGAAACAGGTAAACATCAATATTGCATTTCCAGATGTCAGATGTGTGCAGGATTAGATGGCTGCTGAACAGAGAGCTGAAGTCAGGTACCTGAAGAAACAGGCATCAGGTAAATGAAGGTGGTGTGGGTTGCCTCTAACATGAGGAATATGGGATTTCTCTGCAGTTAGTGTAAGGATTGGAGGGGAGTGAGGCTTGCCAGGTCTCCTTGGGGCAGCTGCTTGTGCTATGGGGTACAAACAGGCCTCAGCTCAATCCTCAGTGTGTTTCACATACAGCACTTGCCCCAGGCAGGAGAGCCCAGCTCTTGGATGCCGAGTCCATTGTGCCACCACACAACACGGGGACAGGCTTGAGAAGCACTTGCTCCACCTCTCCTACCAACTTGCTGTGAGGGGAAGGATAAAGGGGATTTTAATTGCTAGCTGGTTTTCTCCTAGGAGAAACAAGAGTTTTAAGAGGGCACTTCAGTTCACTAGACAAAAGAGAGACTTAATGTTTCATATCTGGAAAGGATCTAACAGATGTTTATTTTGTGCCTCACCAGGGCTGGAATCCTCACTATTTAATACTACTTGGCACTTACAGTGTGGTAGTTAAGGACAAAGAATTGTGCAAATATTAATTAACATTCAAAGAATAGGAGAGGATTCTTTTTCAGAGGGGAAAACCCAGAAGGCAGAGATCTTAAACAAGGTCATACACAAAGCATCACTGCTGTGTTGGTATCCTCTGCTTTGAGGGAAGATCCTCAGGAGAAGGTGAATAGCCTGAGGAATTGGGACCTAGTGAGGACTACTGAAATGACTGATGGGAGAAGAAGGGGACAAGCCTTTTGCTGAGCCAAGCAAAGGAGAAATGCCTAAAGGATATTGGAGAACAGGGGTGGGCTGCAGAATATATTCAAGGACAGAAATAGCAGGTGTGAGATCAAAACACAACAAGCTGCTTCCAAAGAAGCCCTGACAAACAGGGATTAAAATAATTGAAAGGTTCCTGAACTATAGCACTAAGTGCAAGGTGTTAGGTTTCACCTCTATTGGTCAAATAATGTTCCAGCAGAGGTACTTCAAATGTCAGCACTTGCCAATATTTACTGCTGAGTGACTAGTTCACCTGAGGATCTGGCCCTGAGAAGCAAAGGGTTCCTCTGTGGTCAAAAAAGGAAGTATGATGGCAAACATGCTGGCCAATATAAGTAGGAAATTATTTTAAATGGTGGCAAATGCATGTCATACTCACTTTCAAACCAGATAAGCAGAACCTAGTTTTAATTTCACTGGCACTCATTGTGTGGAACTATCACGCAGAGACTTGCAGTACATTGCATGGTAATACTGAACACACAGGCTTCTAGAAGAGACATGAAAATGCATCTTAAAAGAATGGTAGAATGTATTCCACAAAATGAACACTTTCATTTTTTTTTTCCTTTATTTTTGCTGGGAGAAATGTTCTCTCCTGAGATGCTGCTTACCTTTGCACATCTGGTAAGAGATTTGAAAAGAATTTCCTGCAGGTGCCAGTTGAAAGAGTCACCTGCAGTCCTGGGATTACTTCTGACTTCTCACTTTCCTTTTAAAGCAAAAGAACAATGCAACTCGACAGTATTACCAAGCTGCCCAGAAAGGCAGTTTTAAAAGATTCAGTGTCTAAATAAGATTTTCAAATAGTTTTTACTGCTTTTCTTACTCAACAGCCCTGCAAGCTAGTGCTGAGGGAAGAGGTTTTTAGAACAATGTTTTTCCTGAATAACAGCAGTATCAAAAGTGCCCAACTATGGATTAAGCCTGGTTTTATGGATCTGCCTTTTCTCTTTAAATAATTTTGCCATTCTGCAGCAATTTGCTTGTTTCTTTCTAATGTCTCTGAACAGCCAACAATTATGCATGCAGAGACGAAGATGAGTGTACTCATGGAATAGGAGTGGAAGCCTTTCTTTGAAGATGGAGGAAAGGTGGCCACTTACAAGGACTATTCATGAGAAACAAAATGAGTTTTTCCTGTAAAGGACAGTTGTGGAGTTAGCAGCACAACTTGAGCTTTCTGTCTCTGAGACTAGTTCAAAATTAACAAAACAGAGTTTCCTTGGAGAACAATATTGCAAAACACAATGCTTTCAAATAAGTGGTGTATTTCTGCCACATTTTTTTATCTTTCTAAAGAGCCACTTTAAACACACCAGAAAACTGTACAGAACACAGCTGACTATTTTTCTTATGTTATGCATTATATTAATGTATCACCCCAATGTATTAATATTGCAGATTATCAGTATACTACATTAAGTAGTCAGTTTGGCCAATTCTGGAGCATGATTTCATTGGCTTACTGCATCTTAGTTACTTAAGAGTTCAATACAGGAAGCTCCCTCCTTAAATTAGGGTTCTTCAGTAAATCTTTCTATAAATGGAAATGTAAATTTCAGTGTCTGTGCTCAATAAAGTATTGTTAACTCCATTAAAAAAAAAAATCTATCATAATATCATTTGGGAAAACGAAGCCTATTACCAGAAAATTCAGCTCTTTTCAATTTTCAGTTTTGCATTTGAAAAGTAGGCCATTAAAATGACAGGTAAATGTTGCAGAGCACAGATTCTAAGTGACTCCTACCTATAAATACATGGGATAACTTAAAAACTGGAATTAAATCCTTCATAAAGAAAAGGCTAAAAAACAAGAAGGCTTTTCCAAAATGCTGTAGGTGAGGAATTTATCAGACTGAGGGAATTTTAAATTCCCCTTTAGTAGCTATAAATAAAAATGTAAAACTTCTTAGTCGAGGTGAAAATCAAGAATAAATATGATTTTGTTGTACCCTGCTCTTGTCCACAGAAGTCACCAAAGTGCTACAGAGAAAATATTTTGGCACATGATGTCTTTGTTACTTGACACTTGCCTGTATTTCTTTCATGGCAGTAAGTGAAATGATTGCAGCTGTACGCCCAAAGAATTTTGTTCCTTTTTCATTGATGGCAATCTGAGGTGATTACACTGATACCTGTTGGTGGATCCTAATTCCACAATAATATCAGAGCCAAAATTGCCACCCCACTGCTTAGTTCTTCACCATACTCTTAAACTTCTCAGTGCACTGGAAACTGTTATGAGGCAACTGCTGGGTTACCGTAAGTTTGGCACACAGCATTTGCCAAAACGCAGGGCTGTAAAAGAGGCTTTAAAGGACCTTACAAAAACAATTATCCTTCAGTCAAATGGCATTGCTAATACTCATTACAAGCTTTGGAGTCTTTCCAGAATCCTAAAGACAACCATATAGATTCTGGACTGTAGAACTCCCTCCAGCTCCCAGCACACATGGATATCTGCAGCACAAGTGACAACATGCTATCTGCTGGATCAGGGATGGAGACTGAGTGCGCTGCTGATGTCTAAAGTGCTTGTAGTTTGCCACAATCTTTTAATTTTCAGGCTGCATTTCTTTGGGATCAGATTGTACTTGTTCTTTCACCTAGATGGACCTCCTGACTCCTTGATGTTTATAACCAGGTATTTATATGCAGCAGATGCCTGTTTTCTCAGCCTTCATTCTTCTAGTGTAAGCAAGGCAAGCAGTTTTAGGTCTTCCACTTCCCACAGTTCCTTATCCTGCAGTAGCTATGTGCCTTTTACAGGTAATTTCAGGTGCAGAAATTGCCAGCACCGTTTGCTACATTCCCTGTCAGTCACCGTTTGTTCTTTTCAGGTGCATTAATATTTCATGCTGTGCTTGATGCATCAATATACCCATTCCATATTGCAGATGTATTGTGAGGCTGAGTGTACCAAACTTAGAGCTTTCAGCCATCCTTTGCTCAGCTGTTATATCCTCTCACCTTTTGTATACTTTGGTTTCATGTGAAGCAATGCTGATTATTCCACCTAACTCCATGACCCCTGGGGGCTCACTGGGGAATCAAAAGGAGCAAGAAATGAGATAAGAGCAGAGGGCATCACATGTTCCCTGCTCATGTTAGCCATGGTGGGGATCAGCTATTGCAGTAGGTAATCCTCTTCAAGCAGGGGTAGAAGGGTACATGCACTTGGAGCCTCAGGTGTCTTGCTTCATCTGGTACCTCAGCTGAAACATCTAAAGCAGTAGTCTACTCTAAACTAGGAGGCTGTGATCTCTGGGAACTGAAATAAGGATGTCTCCTGTCCCCCAGTTGCAGTAAGGTGTGCTGGATGGAGGGGAGAACAGCTGGGTGCAGTGTCAGCTTCAGTTACCCCAGCCAGAATCAGCACTGAATTTCTGACAGAGCCTGCTGTCATCATCACTGATAAGTGAAGAAGTTAGTCCTTCAGCTCAAGTGATAGAGGTGTCCTTTATGGAACTGAGAGCTCAGTATCCAGTCCTGGCCAAAAGCCCTGCCAGAGGGAACGTTAGCCTTGGCTGCAGAAAGCTAGAAGCTCAAGTGCCTTTGGAAATTCAATATAACCCTCTCTTGGTGTTATACAGACAGCAGTGTGTGAGTGAGTGATGTGTGTGAGTTACTGATTTATCCTTCATCTTCTGTCCTTCATTTTATTCACATAACTTTATATCACAGGTTTTATGACTGATAGAAAAATATGATTCTATTTCCATGTGCAGGAAATTTTTCTTGTGCCAATTTCCCTAAAGGAGACTACTGATTAGTGACACAATCCCTGTGTCCTCACCATCATCTCTGATCACCTGTATCATCCTAGAACTTGCTTTTGCCCTCCAATCAGAGAATCAGAGCAGTCTCAACAGAAGTGCAGATGCTGAGTAACAAAGTTGTTCATGGGTGAAGAAGAGTATTTGTATGAAGACCAGCCATACTGCAAGTGTCTGTTCAGACACACGTTAGCTTTTGTGAAAATTTGTAAGTAAGAATGCTGGTCAAACAGCTGCTTGTGAACAATGTGAACAAATATGAACAAATACCATATTAGGTCAGTTCTGTTACTCACATGAGTTTCTATCACATTTGGTTTGAAACACTGAGAATATATTCCCTAGCTGCTACTTCCAATCTCCTGTTTGCTGATGGGTTCCTCTTCTGCATGACGGCTTGCTACAGTATATCACTGAAATATACTGACACATTTCTTAAACATATTGCATTCTCATGAGAAAAAAATAGGAAAAAAATAGTTTGTACCTATATCCTACTTCTTCTGTCAGTCACTAAAATTGATTGACTCTCTTCTGCTTCTTTCTTTTCATTCATGACTGTGTTTTTTGTTCAAATAATTGATTTATCATGTATCTAATGATTCTTTCCTGGTTTTCAACTTGAAAAATATCCATGCCCTGGCTCATTGCTGTAGTATTTGTCATCAGAATAACACCATAAATCATTCTGAGCTTAAGATCAGACTGGGAAGGTGGAGAAAGGTCCTGATGATTTAAAGACATGTTCAGAAAAGATCTGAAAAAGTTTTCTGCTTTAGGGAAATATTTCAATTTGCCAATAATACTAATAAAGTTGTATTGGAATTAAGGTGTCTCTAGAAGGTGGATAGTGCAAGCTGTGGGGGTGTTAGAACAGTTTGCATGGGTTTATGTGTGGAGAACTTTGGAGGTATCTTTTGATAGATTTGAGTACTGTATTACCAAGAAAATCTTTTATCAGTGTTAGCTTTGGTGTTTATGTAAAAGCTCAATGGCTACAAGAGTTTTTAGGTGAAGTATTCAACCAAAGACCTCCTTTGACTTTGGTGATGTGGAATTAAAACCATGGCTTATCTCAGGACAAGGAGAGTCACAGCTTCAAGGGTCACAGGGACTTTCCACAAGAAAGAGCTTGGACATGGTTTGGACCAGATAAGGTCAGGTGAACATCTGGCCTCCTTCATATCTGTACTACCATAAAATGTTATTGGTGATAAAGGTATCACTGTAATCAAAATATTATCCAGTCTTGGAATATGCTACTTAGCAGGTCTCCAACATGCTAGAAAATGTGATTTACTTGTTTTGGACTGTTATTTGTATTCTCAGATAAAATTAGAGAATTTCTTCAGATGCATTTTAGAATCTGTTTTACTGACACTATCATAAAAAGAAAAAACATTAACATTGTCTTTTTAAATTAAGAACTTGGATAAAATGTACTTTAAAAAATTAAGTGCCATTTAACTTTGAAGTTGTTGTTAAAGATGCTCAAGTTTCCAAGTAAGCTAATGCTGCCAAATTTTGCTAGATCATCACAGGCTTTTCAAATCTGAGCTTAACAAAAACAACCTGAGGGAAGAATGTTGTTGATGGAGTGAAATGTAGAAATGTATGCTGACACACAGCGAGGAACTGGTGATAACTGCTGTGTGCAGTCTTCATGCCTGCAATATGCCCACAATTCACTTAATAGGAGAGAAAATGGCCAGCTGGTCCTGTTGAACTGAAGGGAGCAAGCTGTGCTCCCTTTCCATTAAACTCAGGAAAAACACTCTTCTTGAAAATGTAGCTTTTCAAAATGACTTGGACTATTTCACAGATATTTCCATAAATGATTGGCTTTTCTAACTCTTGCTGAGACATTTGAAAGAAGTTTGAAGCTGTAATCAAAAAATGTACCTGTTCTCAGAATTGATTTTGCAAAGAAGAAAATACAACTGATCCCATCTACTGTAAGGTGAAAATAGGACAGAAATTTAATAATTATGATATCAAGCTTTTCTTATATGATAAGCTATACACTCTTGCTTCATATCTGTTGAGTAGAGCTCCATTATTTTACTAACCAAGTTCTCATACTTGACTACAATAATGTCATTTACCACCATCTTCGAATAGGGATTGTTTGTAAAGACAAAGCCATAATTGGGATTGCTGTATCTAAATATGTGGAGTAGTCAGGTAGAAAAAGTGATGTAAAAAGATTTTTTTATTTTTCAAGACTCCAAATTGTTTCTATCTCTCTTTTCTACTCAATTTGATATACCAAACATAAAATCACAGTTCTCTGTTGGGAAAATAATTTACAAAAACCACCAAAAAGTCTCATCAATCCTCACAGTTTATATGCGCTTCCTATAATGCTTATGCTCTAAAAGAGAAAAGAAACACAGGTATTGTGAACAGCATGTGGATTAAAACAAGCTGCCCTTTCAGAGGCATTTGTCCTCTGCACAACTATTACTTTCTTCCAGCAGTGAATCAGTACAAAGGTTTCCTGTACAGGGAATAAATTAATGGATCTATTTTAAAAGTACAAACATTATACTGCAAGCCATACCCATGCTATCATGGCCAAACAGATGCTAGAGAAGTAGCATTTAGACAATGTTTTTGCAGAAACAAAAGGTTTGTCACAGGAGTGGTATAACGTTAACAGGAGTGCTGACCTACTTACACACCATAACACTCTGAGGAGCCTCTGGGGAGGTTGGAGACCCTGGAGCAGGGCATGTTTTACAAGCCAAGTCATGAAACTACGACCAAGAGCACAACTGTTTTTGTAGCAGCTGTTTATGGTTGACAGAAAAATATTGGGGAAATTTATCACCATCTTAGTGCAGATATTTAAGGTTTACTTGTCTAATTCTCTACTGATTGCTCTAGGCTTCCACTACATTCATTGGAGAGCAACCCACATATGCAATCTCTCTGACCTACTTTAACTAACTATCTCCAGATGAGATGAATTTCTCCCTGGATGTGCCTGCTTCTCCCAGCTGCCTATAATGGGAAGCAGTGTAAATAGCTGAGAGTTTGGAAACTAACTTTTTGAGACCTGAGCGAGATAAATCCCAGCTGTGGTCTAAGAAGAGTTCCTCCATGACTTCCAAATACCTGAGTTAAGTTTTTTGAAAAAAAGGAGTGTGTTTTCATGAGCTTCTTATGAGAGCTGGTAATGAAATTAGCATTGGCTGGGTTGATATGGGTTATGTCCACAGTGCACCAGACTCTTCCTGGTGAGTGAATAAATAAATTATCCAGCTTTTCCACTTAGATATTCTCATTGTTTATTTCATGGTGAAACCTTGAGATATCTGAAGTGGAAAAGCTGGGTAGCATCACATCTACTCACCCTGGTGACAAAGGGATGGGAAAGATGTACCCAGCACAGGGAAAGTAAAATGGCTGAACCAATTTTACTGGAAAAAGGTGTATGTCTGTTATGCAAATACTTAAAAAAAGGAGTAAGTAAAATAGTATTGAGGTCTTTCAATATTTAAAGGCAGATTTTTTAGGTGGGCCTGTTGTGATATGACAGGGGATTATGGTTTTATGTTAAAAGAGAGTCAATTCACATTAGATATAAGGAAGAATTTTTTCACAACCTAGGTGGCAAAACACTGGCACAGATTACCCAGAGTGGTGGTGAATTCCCCATCCCTGGAAATATTCAATGATGGAGGGGGGTCTCAGAAACCAGATCTATTTGAATATATCCCTGTAGGGGAGTTGTACCAGATGACCTGTAAAGGTCAGAGGGTTTGGACTAGATGATCTGTAAAGATCCCTTTCAACATAAACTATTCTAAGTTCTATGGTTGTCTCTGGGGCATTAAGACCCAACTGCTATTTAAAGTAGTTAGTGTTATTTCCTCTAAGCTCTAGAATTTACAACCAGTAAATGTCACTTTGCAGTAGTGTAAGAAGGTTATGATAAACTGATTATATGTAATTGAAATAATACAAGAATACAGACAAATTTACTGTCAGGCAGAGTTGCTTCAGCTCAGGCAACTCTGCTGGTGGTGAGCAGCAAGGTCTGACAGTAACACAGAGGTACCCAGCTAGCAGCACATTATCTCAGGGCAGTAGCACAGCAGTGTATATCACTTGGACAATATCGATGGCATATGCAAAAACCTGGTTTTAATCACTCTGCAGATTAAATAGGTAGAAATAAAGAGGTAAAATAGTTTTAACTACATTTTTTTTTATTTTTAAAAAAGTAAAGACTAATCCTCCCAGACTTGTGGGTGAGCTTCAAGCTTTAAGCCTTATCAAAACTTCTATCAACAAACTCCCTAAAGGTTTTAATTTAATTTGAGAGATGCCTGCTATGGCTTGCCATAAAATCATAAGGGGAAAAAATAGTTCCTGGGTACCATTATCTATGTGTTTCCAAAGTATCTGCTTTTTGGCTTGGGTTCCCTTCAACAGGCCAGCAAGCTGATGAATTGGTGTTTGATAGCATTTCTGCTGATTCTGATGATATTTTCATAATTTTCCTTCTTAAAAAAAAAAAAAAAAAAAGTTATTTAAACTCTTAATGTCTTCACAGAAAGTTTTCTCATTGAAAGGTGGCATTAAATTCAGTTTAGCAAAGGACAGAGAAGAGGATTTAAGGACAGGCAGATCCTCAGCATGGTTCAGAAACGCTTGGTTTATCTGTGTCTCTGAATCTGCATTAAATCTCCACCTGGAAAATGCTGAACAGAAAATGGGTACAACCTCACATCTTATGAAGATGATCTCATTCCTAGCTTTCACATCTTATGAAGATGATCTCATTCCTAGCTTGGTGCTCTGGATCCAAAGCTTATCTTTCCAGCAGGCTCTGGCTGAGGTATGTATGTGGTAAATCCAGTCAGTTTCTAACATACACATGGGATTCTAGTGCATTGACTTATCCTGTCCGATGCACTTACTTCCACTTCAGGGGGAGAGATGCCATATCCCATCTCCAGAGATACTGTTGTTCTGTTTTACACTGTTTGGAGGTTAGCTCTTCAGAGCTTCTATCTGTTTGACACACTTTTCTGATTATAAGACACCTGTTATTTCTGCAACACTATATAAATATTTATGATAGCTCTTGATATGTCTTAGTTGCTCTCATGTCCAAACCTCTCCTGTAAGGTGTCACATGGCTATGTTTCTTTGACCTCACACTTTTTCCTGCATTTTCATTCTGTGTTAGATTCTATTCACCTGGTGAAACAATGAATCCCCAGAGGATATCCAGTAAGTTGTGTGATTTTTTTATAGTTCAATGTACTATATAGTATACATATATGGGATGTACTTTTATGTTGGGATGTACATTTATTTATCTATGGGATGTATTTTACAGTAAAGCATCAAGCCCAACTACCAAGTGAAGAAACCAGAGCTGTTAGCAAAGCTTTTGAATGGTAGGCACACCTACCACTTACCAAATATTTGCACACAACTGCTCAGCCAAGACTGAGGTCTCCAGCGTGGTGCTTCACTGGTGCTCAAGCAAACTCTAATCCTTGCCCAGCCCCAGAGGCGGTGGAGAGGTGGGAAGAGAAGGGAGATCATGTGAGATGCACATCCTTTGCTTTTTAGAGACGGAGTTGGCACATCAGCTCTGACTGGAAAGCAAAGGGGCTTTGTCGCCAGCAGTGCCGTGGCTCGTGGCTGAGATGCATCCTTGTAGGTCAGAGCCAAGGGAGAGCAACACGTGTCAAGGCACTGGGAGGCCATCCAAGAGGGCATTGCAGAGGCACTGAATACATGGCATTGCTGTTAACATTTTGGCAGACCAGGAAGAAGGGGAAAAAAAGAAAAGTACCAGGTAGGATGCTTTTAGTTTTAAATTTGTCACAACACCATGGAATCCTGATGTTCTAATTCCTTTGGTGTTTGCATTACTTTGTAATCAAGCAGCTAAGAATTCAGCCAGAATAAAGGTGAACAAGGAGTGGTACACAGATATCCACACTGAGAAAATCTGACGTCATGGTTTTGCTGGAAAAATTTTGGATTTTTATGCATGATTTTGTTTGTTTTGTTAGTTCTTTATTGCTTGCATAAACTTACACTATTTCTGTAATTAAGTTTACAGGCTCATACCTTTGACAGACAGATGGAATTATTTCTCTCACATGCTCTGAGTTTTAGTTTATTAGTCAGCCATAATATATCCTAATATGCAGGATTAAAAACCCCAAAACAAGCACACACATGTATACATACTCCTCTCTCTCCATGTGTGTATACATTTTTCTCTTTGTAAAGTTAGTTTTAGTTAAAAGATTCATAAAACTGTTTATTTTGTAATTGAGAAAAGATATTCTGGTGAGAATAGTAGAAAGCTAAAATAATGCTTCTCTGCAGAGCTTTTTATTCCTCTCAGTGCAGACACCACTGAAAGCAGCTAGCAGAGGTGAGATTTTCTGCTGAAAAACAGACTCTGAGCAGCACAACCTGAGAACGTCGCTCATGGCTGATAATAGATTGTCAGTGTTTGGGCATGTTAGATACTGCAAAATATGCTTCACACTACACTGCAGAGAGCCTTCTTGTCAGTTTATAATTTTGGAGACTTGTTTATATTTTTACTAGTAAACAGGACTTCCCCTTTACTTTTCTTATCCTAGCTCTGTTTTAATACTGATACTTGGGTGTGGTGAGTTCAGCACAGCCTGTGCAGGACAGCCATTATGTGAAATGGCATGTAAGGTTTTCTTGTTTTACTTTTCCTTCTGTCCTTCATATGGCTGCAACAAAGAGGTCTTCAGGCTTTTCCATTTCTCAGGGCCCTTCTGAATTAATGTGCTGGGGAGCAGTCCTTGCTCCTTGTGTCACAATGTGCACACCATTATGCAGTGCCACCCCAGTGCAGCGGTACTTAGCTTGTTTGTGGCACTTAGCTCCAAAGCTGTTTGACTGATTTTACTCCATTTATTGCAG